AATTAATAGACTCAGAGTGCTACGTGGACCGGCGGCGAACTCTTGGGACATTTTGGAAAATACTGGAAAATCAAACAAAACAGACTGAGCGACTACACAGAACTTGTAACTTTTCATAGCAGACATCGTTTTATTTTATTTTTTAGATATTGTTTGTCTCGAGGAAAATGATGTAATTACTGGAGGACCATGAAATTGTACAAGATGTCATACATAAACAATTAGTAAATATTGTTGAAAAACTTTATCAACCGTGATTCAAAAGAGAAACAATACCAGAAAAATTACTAGTGATAATATCGAGTCGATTGCACAACTTCAATCTTTTTACAGAATATAGTCACTGAACAGTAGATTTAGTTTTGCAGTTTACTGCAAAGTTAAGTTCATGTGTTCGAATCTCTGTTCGTACAAAAGCTGATTTTGTGTTTTTCGATCGTTTTACTCTAGAATACTATAATGGTATACTTTTCTGCTTGTATTCTGAAAGAGCAAAGTCTATATCAACAGGTTCCATTATCTCTAACCATACTGATGAAAAAATCGATGTAATTCCGGTTGTGCTATTCTAAAATAACAATCCAACTTTGAAGAACACAGCAGATATAGTTTAAAACTTTCCGACTTACTTGATTCCTTTCTTTCCAGCTTTCTCACTATCGTTTGTATATCTGATCGCAAAAACTGTATCTCCTCTTTCAAAGCTGTTATAACGTCCATCGAATTGGTATTAGAAACTCTGCAAAAGAACTAACATTTAGATAAATAACTGTCAGAATACTCAGGTCTATAAATTTTTCATGAATAGGGAGAAAAATTGAGCTTTTCGTAGTTTTAGTACTAGTCGTTCAATTGAAATGAAGTAAAAACACATGCTTACCTATGTATGGATTTTGGTAACTGCTCACCAGCCATCATACGGTTCTAAACATCGAAAAGAGTTTTTAAATCGAGATGTTGAGGATGGACTTACTGCATTCAGTTTCTGCAATTCGAATTGAATCCGTTTGAGCTCTTCATTTGTTTTCTGATTCGTGTCAACTTTGTCTAAATCCGATTCGTGTCTTAAAAAGTGATATTTTAGCGCAATAATACAATAAGTTCTTAATTCCAAACTCACTTAGGCATTGGCTCCTCTTCTGATGTTTCCGGCTTTTCTTTATCGATACAAGAGCGTGCAAAACTTAAAGTCGCAGCGGATTCAAATTCATTCCAGTGTTCATTCAATTTTTCCTTGTCATTTGCAATCATTTCTGATGAGAGATAAAAAGAAAGAAAGTCTGTCATTTATTGACTGATAGAATGATCTCTTACTAAATACTCATGCATGATGTTTTTTAACACTGGTAACAGAGTACGCTTGCTGGTGTTTGGCACGACGTAACTTTCTAATTATGACATTTATGAAGAGGAAAGTAAAAGAAATTAAGTTAAGCGGAGGATATGAAAATAATGGCCGTTCGAAGTATTTTTGCACAAATGAATATCTCTGATAACGCCAGAAAAATTTGGTATTTTCTTCCACGTTGACAATTGTAGTGCTGAAACACATAAGGATTAGGTTTTTTTCGAATAACACCAATAAGGTATGTCATAGTCACTCACTTAAATACAGCAATAAGCAGATTTAATAGCATAATCTGAATGAATAATGTGTGAATTGCGAGTAATACTTGAGTGGCTGCTGCTTCTGCGGCAGGGACGTTAATCTTGCCATCAGTATTATTATTAACGCTTGCCGTCAAATCTAATTAAATTGGAATTCTAGTGAATCATTCAAAGCAGTTGTTGTTCATGCATTTACCGCTTAAGTTCTCTAACTCTTTCTCGGTATGCCCATAGATGAACCAATAAGACGGGTATAAGATGTTGCTGAATAATCCGTGAGTGGTAAATGGGACATTCCCATAAGCAATCATTGACCGTGACACAACACCATACGCAACAATACAGATTAGAATAATGTAAATGAATGCTAATAGATCTTGAAACTAGAACAATACGAATTGAGAAAATCAATAGTCATTTTTAATGCTCGGCTATTACCATATTTTTGATCATAAATAGTTTCGGACCTAGGGATTTTAGGACAATGCTGAATTTCAATGATTGTAAATACCATAACTCCAGATCGAAAGCCATCAGTATCCTGAATATACAATGATTATACAGAATACAATTTATTTCTTTTAGAAAGTTAGTGTTGATTATGTTTTACTTGATCGAGATGAATACGTTACCTATAAAATGTTAGTATGTCTAATGGATACAAAAAGAATTTGCATAGGAAAAAGCAAAACAGTTTTTCTGATCGTCATTTTTATTCGGAATAGTAAGCAAGAGAGGCCCACATTTAGTTCTTTAACTTCTTGTAATTATGGAGAAGAAAAGTACTCCTTTTATACGTTCCAACTGATAAGAAGTCGAATTAGTTGAAGTGTCAGAGTGAATATCTTAAGCTATATCCTCGATTTAGGTTCGTAAACCTTATTTTCAATGTCAACTCTAACTCCATTTTCGTTAGTCTCGGAATTCTCTATCTATGCGAAAAGATGATAACATATTTTGCTAAAAATAGCCATCAGACCGGTATAAATTGTTGAGAAGGACGATATTATGGCTCAAGAATCTTAAAATCGGTTTCGTCATACAAAAGACAATTCTTTCAAAATACTGGTTGACCCTCGATAGAAGAAAAGGTTTGGACGAAACTATTTCCAGGTAAAACTGGCACATTAACGTCGTTTCTGTAATATTGCAAAGAAATCTTAATCAGAATTTCATGAGGATCGTTATGCATGGAGAATCCGACTTTAATTTCGAATCTTGATATCGCCGTTCTCACGTGTCACATGTGTAGTAAAATTAAAATATCTCTACAAGTAGTAGAAAAGTTTATCAATTACTAACGTGACTATAAGCTGAGCTCTTTGTCTTCTGCGGAATATGGTATACTAGAGCTCAACAAAATCATGTACGATTCAGCTCTAGGGATGCACCAGTACAAACTATTTGGGTGTTCAGCGCCTAGGTATTAAAAGAATATACTCAAATATTAACCCGGCAGAAATAATTGTTTCTTTTTTCTCGTCCTATTTGCACATGTAATATGTGACCAAAGTCTTAAAGAATTCACATATTCTGTGTAAAGGAAAGAAAAGAATGCGTGCACTACAGTAATCCTCAAAAGTAGCGGGCTCCCTGTAACTCAAAAACTGTGATAGCTAGGGACTTCTAATTTTGTGTGATCAT